ATACAGGTGCAAATATATAAATATACTCAATTAATTCTTTTAATAAGTGAAAATTCTATAAAGCCTTTAAACTTGAGAAAGCTATTAGTGATTGACTATAATTGGTAGTTTCTCTTTGCCGTCATAAAAAGGATTTGTTTAATAGCACTCACAGGTTTGAACAATACATGACAGTTATGTACAGATATCAAATACTGTACATAAGTGTGAGTTATTTGGATGTGTCAGCACTTTGTTAAGGTCTGGAAAAAGACCCAAACTGTCACCCTCAAATGTGAGAAAAGTGGTCAGGATGTTTAGGAACAATCCAGGAACAACCAGTACTTCCATGTGCTATGGAATCCAGTGGAACACCGGCATCACTGTCCACAGTGAAACGAGTTTTACATTGCCATGGACTGAGAGGGTGCCGACCAAGATAAAAGCATCTGGTCAAAAATCAGCACCTTGAAGCTTATCTGAAATTTGCAGCTGCCCACATGGACAAACCAAATGTCTTCTGGAGAAAAGCTTTGTTGCCAGACGAGACAAAGATTGAGCCACAATCTGGTATGTTTGGAGGAGTAAAGGTGAGGCTTTGAAATCTAAGAGCCCTGTGCTAGCTGTCAAGCATAGTGCTGGTAGATTCTTACTCTGGGGCTGTTTTGCTACCAGGCGTAAATCAGGATTTGACGTAAAACTTGAAAATAGAATCTCCAGTTCTGTCCAAGTTTGAACATACAGTTGAAACTTGGACCCAGTTGGATGTTCCAACTGGACAATGATCCCAGACACAATAGATAAACTGGTTTTGGAATAGATACAGTAGACAAACATTAAGCTTCTGGGATGACCTTCAACCCTGCTGAACATCTGTGGACAACACTTAGAAGCTGAGTCTGTGCCACGAAACCAACTGATTTAAATTCATTCTACCAATTCTGCCAAGAAGACTGATCAAATATCCAGCCAGGAATATGTCAGAAGCTTGTTGATGGCTGGTCGAGGTGCAAGTTGCAAAGAGACATTTGTGGGGGTTTGTGTAAATATTTGAGCCCATATGTAATGTTTGATCCTGTGTAGGTTGATGAGTGGATGTAAACCTATGACCACAACTGTATTTGCAGATACAGAAAAACTGCATTTTCTGTATCTGTATTTTCTAATGAGAGATTTTCAACATTTCTGTTTTCCCTCTTGTCGTTGGTTTGACGTGTGCGGGGGTTAGTTTCAACAGCCAGAGTCAGAATTTAGCAACATTTGACGAGCTATCAAACACCCCAACAGATGCCCATCAAATCTGATCAAAACACACACAATCCCAGTGATGCAGGAAGTTTATTAATTGTGAAGGATAAGAACTGAATGGCTAAGACTTGAACCCTAGTTTTTGTGGACTTTTTCAGGTGCGTGAAATAGGCACAAAATACATGGTGTATTAAAAAGAATCATCTGATTTCAGAAGGCTATATTTTTTTAACTATTAGACATAGAAGCTTTCAGTAAATTTTAAAATGCATGAGCGAATGTAGAGTTATATACACACATTTTATAATGTTGACAAGTGCTTAATATGCCCACCTCCAGACCAGCATCCAATTTCAAAATGCTTTAATTCCACAATCATTCACCTAAAGAAACACGTACTGGCTGCAGTGACTCCAGATATGCTCATGGGATGAGTTTGACATATGCTGTGTATCCACGGGGGGACTTATTGAGCACTTGTGCACACTGTAAGTTTATATTCAGCCATTACTTGCATAAAAGTATAGTCTTTTCTTTTCGATGCACCCTGTGTAATAGCATTTCTATGCAAATGATTAAAAAATGACATGTTTGAATTTTTAGGTTATTCAAATTCCTTTTAACAGTCATGAGATTTAATGTGTATATGTGCGGATACATCATATCATCATTTTATATGAATTATTAAAAGAGGTTAATGTATCCAAGTGTTGCCAGTTATTACTTCTGCCAGAAAGACTTCAGTCAGTCAGGTTATGTGTTTTGTTACATTCTTACTGGTGCTCTCCTCTCACTTTGAATCTTACTTACCTGGAGCTATCTTCAGGTATGTTTTTCCATCCCCAGATGTGGTGAAGAACCGCTCTGTGCTAACAGGGTCTGATGACAGAGCAGATAAAAGCTACATAATCTACTGAAAAGCAACAGATTCTGAGTGGCCATTAAAAAAACAAAAACAAGAAAGGAAGCAAATAAACGAGGCCGAATGGTCATAAATCATCTCAGGTGAGCACTCACACAGTAGTACAGGAGTAGTTGTCGTGGCAGCTTGCAGCTCTGTGTCAGCCAGCTCCTCTGCAGTCTGTTCCCCTCCTCCTCCTCTGCATGCGGTATCTCCGCAGGGCGCAGGCGACTCCTGCCTGCCCAAAACCAGCGCAGATGCATTTTCATCCACCGCTTCAGTTTTCACATGCAGCGCTGCGACGTGGTTGCTGCCTCCTTGCAGATCTCCCTCCATGGCTGACACAGAAACAGAAAAAAAAAGGGAAAAGGAGCAGGAGCTGAAGGGAGAGAGCTTGTATTGTCTGCGCAGGCGTTGAATTGAGGAGAAAGTTTGGAGATCTCGGCTGTTAATCGATGATGCAGACTTGAGCGTGAAGTCGTGCAGCCAAAGTCATGACTGATTTAGCTGTGCGCGTGATGGACAAATGCCACCCCCTGCATGTTTTTCCGTGAGGGGCACGGAAATGGCTGCGCTGACCACCTCAGCTCAGCCGACGGATGCGCAGAGCGGCTGCGCAGCTCTCAGCAAGGATTTGCTGCTGGCAACCGTGACGGTGACGTCAGCTGACCGCACGTTTGGCACATGTTTAGTAACAAAAAACCCCAAAAAATTTTTCAAAATAAGAAAAAATAATCCGAATTTAGCTGTCAACGTGCCAACGTAGGGGAAAATTCTGCACGTTTTATTGGATTAATAATAATAAATTAAAATAAATTAAAATAAATAATACTAAACGAGGTAAAATAAAAAATGCATTTTATTCTTTTCTGTGTTATTTGTGGCGTACACCAACAAACATTTTATTAAAAAAAAAAACCCCACATGTTACAGATAACAGTAAAAATAAATTGAACTGTAGTGACAATAGTCCTCTTTGGACCAACACATTCAGATTTTAATGGTATAAACAACACCAGTTATATATGAAACAAAGTTAGGGCAAACAAAGGAAACTGGGAGGAATATATACATACATATATATAATGATAATTTTAACTATACTTTTAAATAGGACAAGAGCTGTTTTTGGTTTCAGTGCACAAAACTGGAGAAAAACATTATTACAATTCCCCTTTAGACATTTGCCTTTGTTTTCAGTGTGCATTTTGTATGTAAACAACGTACACTATGGCACTACTCTATTTAATATTATACTGTAATGGGTTGTACTATGATGAGGATTATCCAATAATAGCTTTTCCATTAGTTGCCAGCACATGAACACAGAGTATACTGTATTTGACATTCATACTGTGTGCAAACACTGATATCTAGTTACATTTTGCTACAGTGCCATCGCTGTAACACTCGTTTTTGATTGTTTTCTCAGCTTTGAAGTGTTAAAAACTTTCACACTGGTTTGAAGTCACTGATCTTGGATGTTGAAAGCCTTCTTAAACTCGCTGTCAAATAACTCCCTCAGTTGGTTGCCGATGGCAAGAATTTCCGGATTTCCCTGAAAAAGAAAAACAGCGATTGTCATTATGTTATTTTCAAAACTTCTATTCTGTTTAAAAAAAGTTGTGTTTGTAATCCAACAGATGTGTCAATGCACTTTTAAGAACCTACAGTAATTGAGGGAAAAAAAACAAAACAATGAGCAAACACTTGGCGGTGGTGGGAAGGAAGAACTCCCTTTTAACAGGAAGAAACCTCCAGCAGAACTGAGAATAAAAGACAGTAAGACAAAAGTTTTCTATTTGAGATCCACTGTGAAATTGCAGGTACCCATGAAACTGGTCAGACCAGGACCCCCAGGGACCCAAATGCAGAAGAAGCACTGCATGGAAGCAAAGGTGAAATGGATGGTAGTTGTTTTGATTGTGCCTTGTAAAAGCTGAACAAGGCAATTTGACTAAACTTTGAATGGCAGTCAGAAGAAAGTGAAAGCTTAATGTCCTGCAAACATTTAACAACACAACACACTAATATAAGTCCCAAAGGAGATACAGCATCAGATGTAATCTAATTCTTCTTTTTTACATGCAGATGCAAACCTTTTAAAACCATATAAAAAATAAAAACAAGCACTTAATAGACTATTGAGAGCACTGATGCCATTATCACATTTTCACTAAGAGTTTCTTACCCGGTTGAATGTCGCACAGTTGGCAAAAATAAGCTGGACATCAGAAACAAACTCGCCGACAGTTTGATACTGTTTCTGCTGGAGTTTCTCTGTTACTTTGCCCAGCCACATCGGCCTCTTGATAGAAGTGTTGTAGTTTGCCAGCTGTGGGTGAAAGCAGACATCCAGAAAACCAGAGTATTCTAGTCAGAGTTTTACATATACAGTGCTGTGAAAAAGTATTCGACCCCTTCCTCACTTCTTAGCTTTTTGCAAACTTTGTACACTTACATGTTTTACATCAAAGCTAATTTTAATTTTAGGAAAAGAAAATACAAAATGCTTTTTTTAAACGCAGAATTTAGGTTCAGTACTGTTCCAAATTTTCAATTTGTGGATAATGATTCTCACAATGGTTTGCTTGAGTCCCAAAGCTTTAAAATTGCTTTATAACACAGACTGATTAATGTCGATGACTTTGTTTCTCATCCGTTTCTTTAGATCGTAGGATGTTTTGCTTTTTGAGATCATTTTTCCTACCTTTCTCTTTCAGACAGGTTCTATGTAAGTGATTTCTTGATTCAACAGGTCTACCAGCAATCAGTCCTTGGTGCTGCCAGTGAAGCTGAACTGGTTAGTTACTGATTTAACAAGGGAGAGCGGTTACTTTTCACACAGGGCCAGGTAGGTTTGTATTGCTTTTTTGCCTTAATAAATGAAATCATCATTTAAAATCTGCATTTTGCATTTTCTGAGCTTATTGTTGTCCAATATGAAACTCTAACTGGTGATCTGAAGTGTGACCAATATGCAAAGGCTAAGATAGCTCACGTTTTCAGTGCACTGCACTTTATTTTCTACGAATGTTTTAAATCTTGATTCAAATGAATAAAAATTGCTTGCTTAAAAAATACTTACATAGCCCATTGGGTTTGGAGAAAACATTTGCTCCTCGTCAGCACTGCGCAGACTCAGGAGGAGATACTGGCATTGCTGTTGATGAAACAACAGAGGGGCAGGTCACAGCAATGTCACAGGGAGACGGGTAGTTAGATGGTTACATGGACAAACTTGTAGACAGAGAAGATTCTCACCATCATGTGTTGAGATATTTGTTGAGACATCACTGTCTTCACGTCCAGCTGGTCAAGGCAAACGTGATTGGCTCTAAAAACGCAGAATGTGCACAACCAGGGGCTGTCGTCGCTGCACACACATACACACACATACACACACAGATATATATCAGTCTTAAAAACATAAACCCTTTTGATTTTTGTTTCAATCAG